CATGCGACGGGGGCGGGGGGGAAGGACATATAACCTACTTAGGTGAGTTCGCTAAGTAGGTTACTAACCTGACATAGTGAACTTACTAACTCCACTCAAGTAGATACTGTCAAGTTACAGAAGCTCGCTAAGTACATCACGTATCTTCGCTAACCAAATGGCGTGGATAGCGTAACCACCTTCGTAACCGCCCTGGTCGGCTACGCTGGTTCGCTATCTCTGCTATGGCCTTACCGCGCCCAGGATATGGTTAGTCAGCTTACACCCAACTTGCTCAAGTTATACCTTGGTTATAACCAGCTTCTATGTCTTTGCAATCACTTACAACTGACAGAAGGACATATTAACCAGGCCCATCGTCCCAGTGGATCCGTGCTGTGGTCGATTTCTCCAGCTCAAGATTGTACCGGAAATGCAGCCCAAAGCACGCGAAACAAATAGGGCGATAATTTCCGCCTCAGAAGCATGGGCGCCTATTTCCGCAGTGCTGCAACTGGCATCGAAGGAGCTTGAAAAGTAGGGGAAACTCCCGCCCTGCTTACAACGAAGGATCCAGAGCCAGGGCAGAAGAAGAAAAGACTGCACAAACCTGTGTACCAGCGTGGGCCCCAAGCAATGAGAGCAGATCCGCGGCCCCAGAATTTCCGACCGCTTCCCCAGGAGCAATTTTTCGTCCCGGACCCGTCGTTGATGGTCCTGGGGCCCGCTGGTGACCTCCGAAGGCCACAATCGAAGAAAAAAACGCTGGTCGACAGCAAACTTATCGCAGGAGATTTGGGTTCCTCGCCCGTCAACGTCGGGGACGCACTGACCCGGGTCAATGCAGATCCGGGCCATTCAAGCTTCGCAAGATCCTGCAGGCTCCGCAAGATCCTGCACCCCTGGCTCCACAGGATCCTGTAAGTTCCAGCGCCCTGGCTGAAATGAAGGGGCCCAGGGACACACAAACAAATATACACAAATCCTAGGATTCCCCTATCTTTTCCAATGTTTTCTGGAATTTCGTCTTCCCCCTCTCTTCTCCTATTTTCTCAAATTTTCCTGGGGACCGACGATCACTTGTGTCTGTGTGTGTTTTCCCCTCCTGATGAACCCCGCTGGTTGCATTGACCCCCGTCCCAAGGCTCCCGACAATGGGACGCACAGAGACACACTAGTACGATATGTTCTCCTCGGATGCGCGCGTCCGACCCGAACATATAGTATACCCAGCTTGTAGCACATCGTTTCCCCACCACGACGCATGTACTGTAAGATGTTTCGGTGCGCGCGGCGCCCCTGGGGGGGCGACGCACATGCAGTCTGGGTGTGCTGGGGTGACGCCGAGGCAGCGCGCGCTGCACTCCCCACCGGCGATCTCCAGCAGCGGCACGGGCTGCACCACGGGTCGAGGCGCCCAGTGTCCGGGTCCCGCACGGCTCGGCAGGCGCCGCCTGCCCCGCGCGGGTGTCTCAGAGGGGGAGAGGGCAAGACGGAGGGTGGGACGCACAGAGACGTACTAGTACGATACGTTTTCCTCGGAGGCGCGCGCCCGACCCCAACATATAGTTTACCCATCTTGTAGTATACCCTTTCCCGAGAGGCGTGGCCAGAAAGCGCCCGCCGCGACACGTATACTATCAGATTCCTCGGTGCGCGCGTCGCCCCTGGGGGGGGGCGACGCACACATAGTCGGAGGTGAGGGGGTGAGATCGAAATGGAACGGAGAGCCCCCCTACCGGGAAATCGATTTCGGTTTCGTGTTCGAGCGTGCCGTGCGTGCGGGCGAGGCGAAGCTGCGTGGGCGGGCGAGAGGAAAGTCTCCTGTGGCTGAGGCGCGGCCGGACCAAATGATTCTCCACCGGGCGGCCGGTGGCGCGCGGTGTCCCGCCGGTGTCCCGGTGGTGTCCTCTGTGGCTGAGGCGCGGCCGGACCAAATGATTCTCCACCGGGCGGCCGGTGGCGCGCGGTGTACCGCCGGTGTCCCGCCAGTGTCCCGCCGGTGTCCCGTCGGTGTCCCGATGATGATGATGATGATGATGATGATGATGATGATGATGATGATGATGATGATGATGATGTTGATGATGTTGATGATGATGATGATGATGATGATGGTGCTGATGATGATGGTGATGATGATATCGATAGAGAGACCGAATGTGATATCGATAGTGAGACCGAATGTGATATCGATTGTGAGATCGATTGTGATATCGATAGTGAAATCGATAGTGAGACCGAAAGTGAGATTGATTGTGAGATCGATTGTGAGATCGATAGTGAGATCGGTTGTGAGATCGATTGTGATATCGATAATGAGATCGATAGTGAGACCGAATGTGAGATCGATAGTGAGATCGATAGTGAGATCGATAGTGAGATCGATAGTGAGACCGAATGTGAGATCGATGGTGAGATCGATAGTGATATCGATAGTGAGATCGATAGTGAGACCGAATGTGAGATCGACAGTGAAATCGATAGTGAGACCGATCGTGAGATCGATTGTGAGATCGATTGTGATATCGATAATGATATCGATAGTGAGACCGAATGTGAGATCGATTGTGAGATCGATAGCGAGATCGATAGTGAGATCGATAGTGAGACCGAATGTGAGATCGATTGTGAGATCGATAGTGATATCGATAGTGAGATCGATAGTGAGACCGAATGTGAGATCGATAGTGAAATCGATAGTGAGACCGAATGGGAGATCGATAGTGAGATCGACAGTGAGACCGAATGTGAGATCGATAGTGAGATCGATAGTGATATCGAGAGTGAGATCGATCGAGTGCGACGTTGGTCCCTCCCCCCCCCTCACCTCCTTATCACCCGAAGGGTGGTCGTATAGGTATAAGTATGTTGACGTGACGCCGAGAGGGGGCGGCAGGGAGCGTCGGAGGCGGAGTCAGAGAGCCATGGTGGGAGGCACGGCTTCTGCCTCCCTCCATCGCTCGCCGAATCCCTTCTGCCACAGAGTGCGAAAGATATGGAGGCGTCCCGAGAAAGAAAGAGAGGGCAGTCAAATCGTCCCGGGACCCTCCCCCCCACCACGCCTCCACCACGCCCAACACCGCCAGCCTCCTGGAGCATCTGGACATGAAGTCTTGGGAGCCGCCCACCCTGCAAAAATCGTCCCATGACCCCCCCCCAACAACGCCCCCACCACGCCCGACACCGCCAACCTCCTGGAGCCTCTGGACATGGGTTCTTGGAAGCTACCCACCCTACAATTATCGACTCGGGACCCCCACCCACCACGCCTCCTCCACCACGCCTGACACCGCCAACTTCCTGGAACCTCTGGACATGGGCTCTTGGGAGCCACCCACCCTGCAAAAATAATCCCAGGCCCCCCCCCACCACGCCCCCACCACGCTGCACACCGCCAGCCTCCTGAAGCCTCTGGGTTCTTGGGAGCAACCCATCCTGCACACATCGTCCCGGGACCTCCCCCCCCCCACCACGCCCCCACCACGTCCGACACTGCCAGCCTCCTGGAGCCTCTGGACATCGGTAGCCACCCACCCTGCAAAATTCGTCCCAGGACCCCACCCAACGGCGCCCCCACAACGCCCGACACCGCCGGCCTCCTGGAACATCTGGAGATGGGTTCTTGGAACCCACTCACCCTGCAAACATCGTCCCAGGACCCGCCCCCCACCACGCTCCCACCACGCCTGACATCACCAGCCTCTTCCAGCCTCTGGACATGGGTTCTTGGTAGCCGCTCACCCTGCAAAAATCGTCCCGCGACCCCGCCCCACAGCGCCCCCACCACGCCCGACACCGCCAGCCTCCTGGAACCTCTGGACATGGGATCTTGGGAGCCACCCACCCTGCAGAAATCGGCCCGGGCCCCCCCCCACCAAGCCCCCACAACGCCCGACACAGCCAATCTCCTGGAGCCTCTGGGCGTGGGTTCTTTGGGGCCACCCACCCTTCGACCCAGGTCTAGGATCGAACCGAGAATTAAAGCCCCTCACGGACCAGGAGCGATCCTCATTTCAAACTCGTGGCCGTAGAGCTCAAAAAGGCGCCAACACAGAGTTCCCAGCCAGGCCCGCTGGACTCGAAAAAAAACCCGAAGAGCCCGAAGAAGGCCACAAAAGCTCCCCAACGAGGCTCCGAGAGAACCCTGGGACGGCTCCGACAAGCCTCCGAAATGCTTCCTTGAAGATCTAAGTTGGCTCCTCAGGGGGGTCTGCTCGGGCTGACCCATCCTTTCGTTTGAAATTCCCCCCCTCGAATTTTGCTTCACTGATGCTCCTCCTCTTCCCTTCTGACGACAACTCGCCTGTGGATCACTTCTGGATGGGCTGGTGCAGATGCGCGAGGCGACGAGAAGTTGTGATACCCAAGATAACGTCCCTTCAAGCATCTCAAGACGAGCACGAACGGGAGATGCCTGCTACCTGGCTCCAATGTCAGAAGCTGTCTACCTATTGGCACGCAACAGACAAGATAGGTAGGACTGCTACCTGAAACCCTCTGATCTGGAACACCATTATTTCTGCATTGTGTCAGTATCCTCGTCTGTGCAAAAGGATGGGCGACACGGCGAGGCGCAACGCGAACATCCCCGTCTGTGCAAAGGGATGCCCGAGCCGCTACAGGCTTTAATTTGAGCGCCAACACAAATCCAATATAGTATCTCGCGTCTCGTGGTGCAGGTGAAGGTGGAAACATGCCGGGTCAACGATGCGCAACAGACTTACGTATCAGAGGGACAAGAAGAGGGAGAGAACAACCGAAGCAGGAGGAAACGGAACGAACCAACAAACGCTGACTGCAAATGCCGCGGCCAAATCCGGGAGGTGGAACACCAGACCAGGTCAGGTCAGTCAAGTCTTTGCACCATTAAACACATACGTGGATCTATTATCCAACTCGTTGAGGAGGCTTCGGAACTCAAAGAGGATGACGCGCAAGGTTGCCAAGTTGGTTACTACACGCACCTCACAAGCGACTGCCCGATGTCCAATAGCACCAAGCATTTCTTCGCCTAAACGCTAGACCAAGCTGTCAACGGTTCTCGCTGCCTGGTTTGAGGCTGAATGCTCGACTCCATGGCCCGTGCGATGTTGCAGACTCTTGCCAGGTGTACTAGCTGCAGCGAGCTCTTTTTCCCATCCAATGAGTGCTCTGATGAACGAACGGTTGGTCAGAATCCTGCACCTCCGTCTCAGGGATACCAAGCTGACCACTTGCTTTGCACTCCAGCCCTTCAACCACATAAGCAAGCAACACACGATCGTCGCAGATCGGTTAGACCCAACGACGCAATGAACATACACACTGCTCGCGCCGCTGCTGCTCACGCCGCGCCTCGCGGTAGCATCTGCTCCTGCCTCTGCCCCACCGTTTGCGATGCCTTTCACAAACTCACAGACCTCATGAAAATGCTTCGAAATGTTATATGTATCTGTGTCTGTCGCTCTCAGTTCCAAATAATGTGGCGGATGGGGATGGCACAACAAACCTGAGGACAGCTGCCCTCTGGGAGGACTGTAATCGAGAAGATCTGTACGCTTCGATTCACTTGCACGGCCTGCATTTCCATCACAAGCAACAGAACGCAATTGGCCCCATTCTCTGCTATAGAATTTAAGCGTGTCGCCAGGGTACGCCTCTCTTTTATGTACGTCGATCAAGCGATTAGACCTGGCAGAATGTTTATCAAATGCGCAGCAATTGATAATGCCGCGAAGGGGGGGATAATAATGTGTCGTAGAATCACGCGTTCGATGCTCTTGGTCTGGTACACAAGGCATCTCACGGTTCCGCGACTCTCCATCGGAGTGCTTGGTATGGCAGACTGACATACCATCGACCAACGACGGAGGGGGCGGAATCAATTTCTTGACCCGCGCCACTTCACCAGAAACATGGTCTGTGATTGACTCGATATCCACTTCCTTGTTGGATTCACAGCTTGCCTTTACCATCGACGATGCCAACTTTCCCAAGTCGACAGCAGCATCCAAAGTGCCGAGGAAGAGTGCAACCTCGGAGTCACGATAAATTAGGTCGCATGATTCAATCGCCGATGTCCAATACATATCTGCACTTTCAAAGCCCTCTTGGAGGAACAATAAACGGCATTAACACAATTTCTCAGAGGCCCACGCGGATATCTTGAATCGGCACTGGACTCCCCTCCCAGGTGTGCAGAGTGCGCCAGGAGCGGCGCCGGAGGCGCCGCCAGGGGGCCCAGCGCCGATCCAAGAACTCCGCGCGGACCTCCGAGAAGTTACGTGTAAGCAGTTTGTTTGTCCTTCGACCTCTGAAGGGTCCTCAGATCCCATGAACTTCCCATGTGCCATTGTCGATGCAATGTCAAGCAACTCGCGGAAATAAATATCACCATGCTCGGTTCCGGTGGCTCGCTGTGTACTTCCGCTGCTCGCCGCAACCGCATCCCCACAAAGGCGCTCACTGTGGCCATGCCGCTCCATCTTGCAGGTGTCCACCACCGTGCCGACGACACGATATGGCGCGTCGGAATGCCTGTTGGCTGCCTCCTCGTGCTTGGTAGTGCCCGTCCCTTCCGCACTGCATACCCGCGCAAGAGCTCGCAACCCCAAACGCTTTGTGCCAGCGCCATGTGTGGCCTCGCGAAGTCCCTAGACCTCGAGGCCACAGGAGACCCCAACAGAAGAACAGGCACATCCGAAAGACATCAAGTAGATGGACAAACTCCTGCACCGCCCGCGCGACCGCGCGACCAGCGTGCGGTCGCGAATTTCAACGCGCACCCCCCGCCCCCGATTCAGTGTTGGCTGGCATCGCCAGCAGGCTGCAGGATTTTCGGCCAGTCGGCGGACATCGGGTCGCAGACCACCAATATTCCACTGGGGGCGCGGCGGGCGTTCTAGGGGGCCACATGCGAACTCTACCCCTACCCCGCACGATTTCTGAGGGAGGGGGAGGCGAAGTGAACCCCACCCTCCCCCTCAGAAATCGTGGGGGGTAGGGGTAGGGTTCGCATGTGGCCCCCTACGTTCACAAAAATCAAGACGTACAACGAGCCCAGGAAGTCTGCCAAACCCGAGACGAGCCTCTTCTTCGGCCTCGGCCTGGGGGCTCCCCTCGGGACGCCTGCCCGCGCCCTGGGAGCAAGGCGGGGGGTCACCACGGAGGGGGTCGGCGGGCCGGGGGGGTCGCCCCTGACCCCAAGACGACCCAGGACCCCCTCAGGACGGCTGCCAAGGTGCTCCGGAAAGTGGCGTGACAGACCCCCCCCCTCCCCCCCAGAGACCGGTTTCACCGTCGTAACGGGGGCCTGCGTTTTCAAGGTTTTGAGGAAATGCCGAGGGCGATCATATTCCCCGTCGTCCTGCGCCTCCTCGTCGTCGTGATCCTCAATTCTCTCCTTCCTCTCATCGCAGAAGGATTCTCATTGACATCCACCACAGAGGGATTCCTATTGAAACCCTCCACAGAAGGATTCCGTTTGAAACTCTTCGCAGAAAGATTCTTATTGAAATCCTCCACAGAAGGATTCGTATTGTAATCGATCGCAGAAGAATTCTCATTGACATCACCACAGAGGGATTCCTAATAAAACCCTCCACAGAAGGATTCCTATTGAAACTCTCCACAGAAGGATTCTTATTGACATCCACCGCAGAGGGAATCCTATTGAAACCCTCCACAGAAGGATTCCCATTGGAACTCTCCACAGAAGGACTCTGATTGAAATCCTCCACAGAAGGATTCCTATTGAACCAAATAAATCAAAGGCAGATCGCAGAAAAACCAAAAAAAACACGAGGAAAAACCAAAAAAACAAAGAAACCAAAGACCGACGGCTGAAAAACCCCAAAAAAACGCAAGGAAAAACCCAACACCCCCCCCCAAAAAAAAAGATGTCACTACTTACTCCACCTCTGCTCCTCGTCCTGCCCCTCCCCCTCTCCCTCCTCCTCCTCCTCCTGCTCCTCCTCCTCCTCCTCCTCCTCCTCCTCCTCCTCCTCCTCCTCCTCCTCCTCCTCCTCCCCCCCCTCACCCCTCACCCTTCATTCCTCCTCCTCCGCCTCCTCCTCCTCCTCCTCCCCCTCGCTCCTCCCCCCCTCCTTGCCCTGCTCCAGGGGGGGGGAGGAGATGGACGGGGGGGAGGAGGGAGCGGAATGGAGGAGTGGAATGGCGGAGGAGTGGGATGGAGGAGTGGAGTGGGGGAGGAATCGAATGGGGAAGTGCCACCTCCTCCCACCCCACCCGTCACCCCTCACCCTTCACTCCGGAGCACCTTCTCCTCCTCCTCCATCCCCATGGAGCAGGGCAAGGAGGGGAGGAGGAGGGAGGGGGAGAAGGAGGAGGAGGGGGAGGACGAGGAGGACGAGGAGGGGAGGTGGAGTGAATTTTTTTTTTTGTTTTTTGTTTTTGTGTTGTTCCTTGTGTTTGTTTTTTTTTGTTTTTCAACCGTCGGTCTTTGGTTTCTTTGTTTTTTTTTGTTTTTCCTTGTTTTGTTGTTTCTTTGCGATCTGTCTTTGATTTCTTTGGTTCTTTTTGGTTCAATAGGAATCCTTCTGAGGAGGACTTCAATCAGAATCCTTCTGCGAAGAGTTTCAAACGGAATGCTTCTGTGGAGGGTTTCAATAGGAATCCCTCTGTGGTGGATGTCAATAAGAATCCTTATGTGGAGAGTTTCAATAGGAATCCTTCTGTGGAGGGTTTCAATAGGAATCCCTCTGTGGTGGAGGTCAATGAGAGTCCTTCTGCGATGAGAGGAAGAAGAGAATTGAGGATCACGACGACGAGGAGGCGCAGGACGACGGGGAAGATGCTCGCCCTCGTCAATTTCCTCCGCATTCCACTCCTCCATTCCGCTCCCTCCTCCCCCCCGTCCATCTCCTCCCCCCCCCTGGAGCAGGGCAAGGAGGGGGGGAGGAGCGAGGGGGAGGAGGAGGAGGAGGCGGAGGAGGAGGAATGAAGGGTGAGGGGTGAGGGGGAAGAGGAGGAGGAGGAGGAGGGGGAGGGGCAGGACGAGGAGGAGAGGTGGAGTAAGTAGTGTTTTTTTTGTTTTGTTTTCATTGTTTTTTTTTGTTTTTTTGTTCAGCCGTCGGTCTTTGGTTTCTTTGTTTTTTGTTAGTTCCTTGTTTTTTGGTTTTTCTGCGATCTGCCTTTGATTTCTTTGGTTCAATAGGAATCCTTCTGTGGAGGATTTCAATCAGAGTCCTTCTGTGGAGAGTTCCAATGTGAATCCTTCTGTGGAGGGTTTCAATAGGAATCCCTCTGTGGTGGATGTCAATAAGAATCCTTCTGTGGAGAGTCTCGATAGGGATCCTTCTGTGGAGGGTTTTAATAGGAATCCCTCTGTGGTGATGTCAATGAGAATTCTTCTGCGATCGATTACAATACGAATCCTTCTGTGGAGGATTTCAATAAGAATCTTTCTGCGAAGAGTTTCAAACGGAATCCTTCTGTGGAGGGTTTCAATAGGAATCCCTCTGTGGTGGATGTCAATGAGAATCCTTCTGCGATCGATTTCAATACGACTCCTTCTGTGGAGGATTTCAATAAGAATCCTTCTGTGGAAGATTTGGACAGGAATCGAGGAGGCCGTTTGTATCCTTGGTCTCTCACACACCCCGTCTGTCTCACTCATAATCTGCCATTAAAAAACATTGAAAACGCAGGCCCCCGTTTCGACGGTGGAACCCCAGAGACCCCCCCCCACAGAATCCCCACGATGTCCACTGGCAGGCGCCCACAGCGGCCCCTGGGAGGCGGGGGGCCCTCCGGCAAGGCCGCGGGAGTCCCCAAAGCAAAGCCAAGACAGTTTATTCAACATGGCTGCTGCCTCCAGGACGGCCGCATGATCGGCTTCAGAGAGCCACAACTCGACCCCAGATCGGAAAGCTGGCTCCAAGAAGGCCTCCCAAATGGCCCAGGAGGCCACAAGAAAGCCCTGAGACGGCGCGAGGGCCCTCGAACACAGCCCAGATTCGCTCCAAGGGGGCTCGACGACGGCCCCAAGAGCAGACCAGGCGAGCCCAAGATGGTTCTACCAAGACTCTCTGGGAGAGCGCAGATTTGTGGCATCGGAGACGTCCAAGAGAGGGGCGTCCAAGAAGGAGGCTCGCAAATCATGGCTCCAGGCACGTGCGCAGACGAGGGGGGACCTGTGGACGTATTGAATCGGCGGTGGACAAACCTCCCTTTCATAAACCTCCCCTTAGTGAAAAGCGCCTGGGACCGAAACCGACGGACCTGGACCCGCAAAAATGACGGCTGCGACGCCCCCTCGCGAACCGAAAACGGCCAATTCCTTAATCGACGTGTCAGGGTAGGAGGTCTGTCCAACCCCGATTGAAATAATAACAGGGGGCCATGATTTCCGAACCTGCATTCTTCCTCACCTCATGTTTGAAGGCCCCGACGGAGCTTTTGCTCCTAGGAAGGTCCCAAAACACCCAAGACGGCTCCCAGACTCCAGCAAGTTGCCCCAGAGAGCGCCGCCCTTACGGGGTCTCCCAAAAAGCGCCAGAGGAGCTCCCAAAAGGAACGCAACAACCATGCAAGGATGTACGGCCATACAGCGTCACAACGTCGCAACGCAAGGCTGTCTCCAAAACGACCCCAATCTGACCGAGCCTATTTAATAGAGCCGGGTAGGACCATCCTGCACGCATGTCGATGCTGCACTGGCACGGGTGCGGGGATTGCCGCAGGCAGCTGGGAGCTTCAACCGCGTACGACGACTCAGCACAATGCCCAAGGCTGAGTAAGGTCTGCGACGTCCTCGAGCTGATGCGGCGAAAACGGGCGTGGGACGAGGTGCGGGAGAGGGGGGGCCACGCACAGGTTCGCCGACACAGATCTTAGAGGCACGAAAAGTATGCACATTCACCAATTCTGGCCAGGCCCATCCTGAGCCCAGGATCGAAGAATACGCTCTCCTGCACTGGCCAGGAAAGCAGGTGCACCAATCCCGGACCCAGGATGGGCCTGGCCAGGATCGGTGCATGTGCATACTTCTCTCCGCGCGAGATCTAGCGAACGGTCCGAACATCGGATCCTCTCCTCGGCCCAGAGCGGTCCTTATTCCATTCGGTGGTCCGAGGATGGGGTCCTGAGGGATGGTGCCCTAAGGCCAGGAAGGGGTCCACGGGTAGATCTACATTGTTTCAAGCACCTCGTCCTCAGGACCCCATCCCTCGGGACCACATCTTTGAACCGCCGATCCATGGCTTTCGCGCAGCTCTCACAAGGCCGCCGGCGCGGGCGGCCCACGTCGTGCGCCGCGCAGCACCCGGTGGGGCGAGAGACTAGTGCCCGCCGGCCGAGCGAGGCCGCCAGGGACGGGGCAGTTCCAGAGAGGTATCATCAGCATCACCATCCTGGTCACCCTGCTATGATCCTACTCCTCCCCTCTCCTCCTCCTCTTCCTCCTCCTCCTCCTCCTCCTCTTCCTCCTCTCCTCCTTCCCCTCCTCCTCCTCCTCCTCCTCTCC